TTCGGAAAAGAGACAATTCAGAATTTGTATGAATCGTTAAAATCAGATCAGCGGTTCTTGAGTTATAAGCGTAGTAACTAACACAACTTACATTTATATATATAGATACTAGCTGGCCCGGTCCGCGTTGCCGGCCCGTAGTTTTTGTCTATATTATGCATATTTGTCAAAGCATAATTATTCAAAGATATTACTGTTATAAGTGTTCACGTACTGGTCGATTAATTTTTAATTTCTAGTCAAATGAGCAGTAATTTGGAATTTACTGTACTTTGTACACCTCATAATTGAGGGCTAATTGATTTAAGAATAGCCAAAGTTAATTACTTTTTTAAACCCATTAGCGCCTCAGATTGTGCATTAGAGTCCTCATAAGTCCCGCTAACCATGTCAGTCTGTTTCTTCGCCAAAAGGTGGACTTGAGGGGGTACTATTACATGGAGAAAATTCTAAAATTTGTAGATATGTTGAAATTTTTGTGTAAGATTTTCACCCCCCAAATACACATTTTTAGCTAAATCCTTTGAAATATTGTAAAATCAGGAAGTACCATCATATGGGCACTACTGCGAAACATGGACCTACATTGAAAACTTTCTTCACCCCTTATAATCCAAGATGACAAATAGAGGCCAAATCGAAAATATAGCAGAACAATATAGCATGTCAAACTGAAAAAAAAAAATCACGTGATTTAAATAAGTAAAATAAGTAAAAAAAATTCACCTCATAATTGAGGGCAGACTGATTCCAGAATAGTCAACTATAATTACTATTTTACACCCATTACCGTAATATGGGAACTAATTTCATTTGTCATTTAAATTGTAAATTGGAGACCCCATAAAGTCCATATTTTTCATCATAGTATAATTCAAAGACGATTCAACAAATATTCGGTCCCGTGCTACTTTCTTATATTTGTAATTTGTTTATGTTTTCACAATTTATTTCATATAGATGTACATCCCAAATCTACGTTCCCAACCAATATTCTCTTGGGGGCTACAAATTCAATAGAATACAAATTTTTCTTTTCTGACCACACATTAGATGTGAAAGTGCACTTGGGGAATCTCCAATGTGGGGACTTTACTTAAATAAATTCCTATGGGGCAATTATCTGTATGATGGTTCCCTACCCCAAGGTAGAATATATACAATTTTTAGCCAAATCAATTGATGAATGTGGTCAAGACCAATATTGGCCCTACTCAAATTTTAAATTTTATGCGAAGAGGTTCTCTAAAAAGAAAAAAGTGGCCAAGACCCCCACAATAGCTCAAATCATACGATGGTTATATACATATGAAATCGGGTTGTACCCTTATCCGTTATCATGACCTGCAAAAGCGATTTAAGGTATCTTGAATGTTTAGGAAGAATTTCAGGAAGGATAGAAATCCTTTTCTTACTAAACGTAACATTCGCTCTACTATTTTCCACCCTTTATATTTGATGTTTTACTGATTGTACTCCCATTTTGAGCTCTCATTGGATGGATTATTGTCACATGAAAAAAGTAGGTCCACGCTTTGAAATGAGCTCAATTAGACTTTTTCTGTAATTTTTGTTTGTGTAAATGTGTTCGCATCTTCTAGCTGAACCACAATGGAGTTGAAAGGTATTTAATTTCTTTGCTGAAAATTTGTATATAGTGAAAAATTATTCTTTATTTTGTTCACAAAAAATCCACTGAATTCAATATGATAATACAAATTGAAAAAAATTGACAAAATAAGAATAACAAATTGAAAAGAATCTTTAATTTGTTCGCTGATTTTTTACAGCAAATGTTTAAAGATCCTTACAAAGTTTGTCAACAGAATGTACTATTATTTTAAAATTCTATTTCATTGAAATTTTTTTTCGATTTTTTCCCGATTTGAGAATTTTTGCAATGAGATCTCTTTTTTGGTAATTTTTAGCGATTTTGAAAAAGTAATTATCTTTTGACTTTGGTGTGACCGCGTTAAATAATTTCGATATCATCTATTCCGTTTCGCCACCACATAATTCGGTACTACACTTCCATGTAACCCGCCATCAATTTTAGTTCTCAAGAAATCAAGTCAATTAAATAAATTGGTATTAATATTCGAATTGAAAAATCTATATATATAAATGTAAGTTGTGTTAGTTACTACGCTTATAACTCAAGAACCGCTGATCTGATTTTAACGATTCATACAAATTCTGAATTGTCTCTTTTCCGAAAAGGATAATATTCAAAAAAATCGCGTAAAAATGTGATATATTAACATTTTCATTTTGACTTCTGAAATGTACAATCGTAATGTTTTATTTTGTATGTTTTTTTTCTATTTTGACTTACTTTTTTCGAATGTACATTTGTAGTGTTTTTTTTTAATATTTTTTTTTCTTTTTGATTCGAATATTAATACCAATTTATTTTGACTCGATTTCTTGAGAACTGAAATAGAAGCCGGGTTACATTGAAGTGTAGTACCAAATTATGTGGTGGCGAAACGAAATAGATGTTATCGAAATAATTTAACGCGGTCACACCAAATTTAAGTCAAAATTTCTAAAAATCTTGAAAAAAGAGATCTCATTGCAAAAATTCTCAAATCGGGGAAAAAATTACATAAGGTATAACTAAAGAACGGCTTGACAATTCATACAATTTTGGAATGGTATCCAATAAAAATATTAATAAAAAATTTCTTTTTGGTGTGATTTTTTTCAATTTGACATACTATATTGAAGTGAACATTTTTTATTGCCTTGAAATCTGAATGAATAATATTTAAAATAAAATGAGTGACCTACGTGGACCTACATCTTTCATATGGCAATAATCCGCCCAATGAGAACTCAAAATGCAATTCATTGGAACTGCAGTCAGTGAAATACCGAATATAAAGGGTGCAAAATGGTAGAGCGAATTGGACATTTAGGAAAAAAGAAAGAAATTGTTCCTAAACTTTCAAGATGTCTTAAATCGCTTTTGCAGGTCATGATATATGACCCCCGGATAAGGGTACAACCCTATTTCAAGTATTGTTTACATTTTAACCACATTTTTCTCACACTCATTTTAATTTGATAAGAAACCATCCTCGCAAAATATGATCATGTTTTGGTATAACCATCATATAATTTAAGCCATGTTCGGGGTCTTCGACATTTTTTTCATCTTTAGGCCTTTATTTGGCATCTTTGTTTCTAAGGGTGTAAAAAACCTCTTCTCATAATATTTTCAATTTTCGGAGTAGAGTCCATCTTGGTCTTGACCACATTCATCAATTGATTTGGCTAAAAAATTGTATTTAGGCAACTCTGGAGTAGAGAATCGTCCCTCAGATAATTGTCCACATAGGCATTTATTCGAGTATAGTTCTCACATTAGTGTACCCCCAAATCCGCTTTCCTAACCAATGTTTGGTCAGAAAAGAAAATTTGATATACTATTGAATTTGAAACTCCCAAGAGAATATTGGTTGGGAACGTAGATGTGGGATTAACATCTACATGCCATAAACTCCGAAATATCAAATTGTGGCAGAAACATGAAAAAATCACGAATATTAATTTTTTTGTTCGTTATTGAATTATACTATGATGAAAAATATGGACTTTATGGGTTCTCCAACTCACAATTTAAATGACAAAAATAAATAAATTAATATTTCACGGTAATGGGTGTAAAAAAGCAATTATCTTTGACTATTTTGAAATCATTCCGCCCTCAATTATGAGGTGGACAAAACTAAATACCACGCAGCACGCTATTCTTAACATTGGAAATTCAATACCAAAAATTTAGCTGAGTTTTCACATGGGGCTATTATAGAAGTTCTATATCATACAGGTTTTTAACACTCAATTATAGCCTTAGGCTGAAAAATAAGATCAGGCTATTCAAAATATCTAAAACCGACGGTAGATTATTATCTATTATATTTTTTCCCATGAATGTTTATTTCTATTTAGAAATTACTATGGAGTTATTTTACTTATAATAAAAATTGTGCCGCTTTCATAATTCTATAATGCTTAAAAAAATATGCATTAAAGACTAAAAGTAAGGGCCGGCAACGCGGACCGGGCCAGCTAGTAAAATATAAAAAACACTACAAATGTACATTAGAAAAAAGTATGTCAAAATGGAAAAAATCATGCAAAATAAAACATTACTATTGTACATTTCAAAAGTCAAAATGAAAATGTTAATATATCACATTTTTACGCGATTTTTTTGGATATTATCCTTTTCGGAGAGGAGACAATTTCGAATTTGTATGAATCGTTAAAATCAGTCCAGCGGTTCTTAAGTTATAAGCGTAGTAACTAACACAACTTTCTTTTATATATATAGATGTTGTTTATAGATACAAGCACTTCAAACAGTATGCTGCCAAAAATTTTTTACTATACGTGTTTATTTGTATTCAGAAATTTCTACTGATTGAGTGAACGAAGCCAATAACCTATTGAAAATACTTATATACTAATAAGGAAACTTTATTGGATGTAGATGGTGTGATACAGTTTTTCGTTTAAAAGTTCATTCATTTCTAATTCATAGTGAGAGAATAATATACTAAAGTAATAACTCACAAAGGAAGAAAACCCCCAAAAAACTTAAACTATTAAAGCCAACAATTTGATAGATAGATTGAGTGCAGAAAAAAAACCTATATTTCTTAGCAAGCAAATGGCATGACATTGCAACTTTTATGGTTCCGAGAATTCGATTTAATTTGAAGATTATAATTTCCTTAAAAATAAGCATTAAACAATAAAAACTAGCTGCTAGGGGCCAGCAATGCGGACCGGGTCTGCTAGTTTTTTAATTCATTCATTTTTATTTACAGTACTTCCCCAATATGTAAGTATTTACTGGTCCCTAGATGCTGGGTTGAAAAGAGAAGAGAAACTTAAAAATAGTTTTAAGTAATATTTTGAACATAAGAATTATTTTCGAAATACTATAGAAATAAATTGAATAGAAAATATCAATTATATATTTAAAGGGAAACAAATGCAGGGGACAAGTCTAATGCTATGTCTGTGATAAGAGACAAAAGGGAGGATGATGAAGAAATTGGTTGGTCGACAATAAACGAGGAGGTTGATACTGTGATACCACTGCTGTTGCAGCATTTACAAAAACTAGGAATCGAACACCTGCAGTTGCCAGACATAAATGAAAATTTGACTGTGGTAATTTGGATCAACTATAACAATGAAACATTAAACATACATATTTTAACACTGCATGTTTCAGAAGCCTCTTCTAATAACGTATGAGGCCGGGCTGTTTCTAACAAATGGTATCGTTTACAATTTGGCAGGAATACAACGTTACGGTCCAGCGTATATGACCTACAAGGACAAATCGTTTTTAACGCGATTCTACCTAAATATAAAAAGTTTACAGGTATGTATGTGTGAACTCGCAAAAAATCAATGTGATTGTTATTGGTTCTTCATTATTTCAAGTTTGAATATAACTTTTTGCTAAAACTGATGGCCTTGGAAGGATATGGAAAGGTAATTGGATCATTAGAGGATACCATTATCTATGCTGAACTGGCAATAGACATTGTTACATTCAAAATGAAGCTGTACGATTTTCGTGTGATTCAGTTTAGGTAAGTCATTGTCCTATAGTGGATAGTAATTTATATACATTTCAGTAATAATTTCCGAACTCTTGCAGAAATATACAAGTTCAATTGAATCAAACACGATTCATTCGACATTTGACTGGAGTCATCCTCAGTCCAATAACAAACCTCTTTAAGGATCGTATTACGACTTCAATATCGGATGGTCTCAAGGAACAAATGCAGACTGTCATGGATGATTTCAACAACGAAGATCCATTGGAACTAAATAACTTTGTGAAACAAGTTCTCGGGGGTTTGACGGGCAATAAAAACTAATAACGTGCTGTTTCCCATTAAATTGTTATATTTCTTTAAATATTTTGTTTGTTACTATTTAGACAGATTCGATATGATGTGTATACTTGTTGGGGAGTATAATGCGACAACGGACAAAACTGTTATTTATAGATTCTATGTATTTTTGATAAATGGTACTATACGAATAATATCATTTCAGAAGAGGATAAGCTATGAACAAAAAATCAATATTTTATCGTGTACAAACGGTTTTTTCAATTTGATTAATTTTATTTAATTGACTCGATTTTTTGAGAACTGAATTTGCAGACGGGTTACATTGAAGAATTGATGATGTCAAAATAATTTAAGGCGGTCACACCAAAGTTAAAGGATAATCATTTTTTCAAAATCGTAAAAAAATCAAAGTTATACATTTTTATTGTTTTGAATTCTGAATGAATAATATCAAAAATGAAATGAGTGCGCAATACCATGTTAAATGGCTATCTTTTATGTCTAAACTTGACATCTAGCTTTCAACTCAAGGACCTACATCGTACTTTAGCTGGAAGATGCGAACACATTTAAACAAACAACAAGTAAAAAAACATTAGGTTCGACCGGGCCGAACTTGTAATAACCTACGCCTTAGGTTAAGGAAACATTTCTATATAAAAGCATCTGAATTCAAGCGTGTTTCACTTTAAACTTCATATACCAGTAAGACCGTTTTGATAATGCAGTTAAACTTATCAAAAAACCAAAATAGTGGCCATTATATGGGGCCATACCAAAACCGGAACCTCTATAGACAATTTTATACTTCTAGGATTGTCATCTATCAAATCTTCTAAATTAACAAATTTTGAAACAATTTTGTGGCTAAATGTGTCTAGGTTTATCAAAATACCGAATATCGGTATCGTCATATGTGCGCTAAACGAAAACGTGGAACTAAATATTTAATGTTCTGCCACCGGGCTAGAACCCATTATAAACAACAAATACTAATTTTTAGAAAAATCCGCAGAAAAATTTGTCAAAAATCATCAAAATATCGAATATTAGGAGGTACCGTTATATGGGGACTATGCTAAAACGTGGTCCTATACATAAAATGTTCCGCCACCGAGCTAGAACCCATTATGATACACAAATACCAATTTTTAGACAAATGCATGGGAAAATGTGGCAAAAATCATCAAAATACCGAATATGGGGAGGTACCGTTATATGGGGGCTTTAGCGATGTTTTGCCACCGGAGCTAGAACCCATTATGCCCTACAAATACAAATTTTTAGACAAATACTTGAAAGAAATATCTAGAGCCACCGTTATATGGGGGCTATACAAAAACGTGGACCTATATATACAATGTTTCGTCATACGAGCTAGAACACATTTTGACCCACAAATACCAATTTTTAGACAAATTCCTGAGAAAATATGGCATAAATCAGATTATCGGGAGGTACAGTTTTATGGGAGCTATACTAAAACGTGAATCTATACATACATTGTTTCGCCACGGCAGCTAGAGCCAATTATGACCTACAAATGCCAATTTTTAGACAAATCCGTGGGAAAATGTTTTAAAAAACATAACAAAACAGCCGATGGTCGCTCTCCACTCGTAATTATCGACTTTGGCATCGGAATAAATGCCGAATATTATCGAGAAAATGTTCTGGAGGATGTATTAAAGCCTTGGGCACACAAATATACACAAATATATATATATATATATATATATATATATATATATATATATATATATATATGCGCTTCGCAGTTACAGTCTGAATCGATTTTCACCAAATTTGATGTACTGGCTTCTAGACTGAATTCGGTCGGATGTGCCAAACTTCAGATCACTTGGACCAGTTGGTTCACAATCAACCCGAAAACGGTTGAAAATATGTATGGGAACTAATCCAAATCCGAACCGATCTTGATACAATTTGGCAGAGGTATTTCTGGGCAGTATCTCATATCTGGTACCAAATATTATTTTTGTCGAATGTATATTACGTATGTGAACTTACTTCTCTATGGACTAGAATTCGATGGGATGTACCAAAATACAGGTCATTTGGACTTTATTAGCTATTTAGTGCACAATTAACCCGAAATCTATTGAAGATATATATGGGAGTTATATCCAAATCTGAAAAGATCTTGACAACATTTGATACACTTATTTGAGAGCTGTATCTGATATCTGGTACCAAAGATCATCGTTGTGGAACGCGAAATATCGTGTGAGGGAATTTAAACCCCAAATCGGAAAAAAACAGATCCACAACGATCAGCAAATTTGTATTCCATTGACGTTTTCAATTAATTGAGAATTGCATTTGCTGTTAAAAAAACCTAACATTAGTGATTATTTTGTAATGATATCGTAACAACAGAGGTAAATCCCCTGGTGACAATATTTTTATTCTGACTTGTCCTATCTTTATACGTCTATGTCTTTGAAAATGTATTGGTATTTTTGAAATGGGTATTTATTTATATTTAGTCGAGTCATTATTTATAATGAAGATTGTGCCACTTATATGAACCAGATCTGTGAATTATTATGCTTCAAAAAATGTGCATTATAGACTAAAACTACGGGCCGGCAACAGGGCCGGTCCAGCTAGTATATACATGATCCGGTATGTATTAATTGGTTGGAAGGTCGAGACACGTGGCTCTATATCAATAATTTAGAATTCTGACACATCTAAGGGTTGTTGTCAATTTTTATCGATTCAATGTGCAAGGAAATCCTCTGGAATAAATTTTTGAGAGCGTGTTTATCATACCTGATATTTTTTCCGCGTATTTCCGCCACTTTTCGGCGATATCGGAATAACATATTTGTTTTAAATTTCTAATGCATTTCTGTTATGTTGCCTGCCATCTATTACCTAATAGAAAAATTAAAGCTAATATGCATTTTGTCCAGTCGTTATAGTTTTATGTCTTTGATGGGACCAAAGGTCATCGTTGTGGAACGCGAAATATCGTGTGAGGGAATTTAAACCCCAAATCGAAAAAAAAAAACAGATCCACAACGACCAGCAAATTTGTATTCCATTGACGTTTTCAATTAATTGAGAATTGCATTTGCTGTTAAAAGAACCTAACATTAGTGATTATTTTGTTATGATATCGTAACAACAGAGGTAAATCCCCTGGTGACAATATTTTTATTCTGACTTGTCCTATCTTTATACGTCTATGTCTTTGAAAATGTATTGGTATTTTTGAAATGGGTATTTATTTATATTTAGTCGAGTCATTATTTATAATGAAGATTATGCCACTTATATGAGCCAGATCTGTGAATTATTATGCTTCAAAAAATGTGCATTATAGACCAAAACTACGGGCCGGCAACAGGGTCGGTCCAGCTAGTATATACATGATCCGGTATGTATTAATTGGTAGGAAGGTCGAGACACTTGGCTCTATCTAAATAATTTAGAATTCTGACACATTTAAGGTTTGTTGTTGATTTGTATCGATACAATATGCAAGGAAATGTCGCCTGCCATCTATTACCTGATAGAAAAATTTAGCCCATATGCATTTTGGCCAATCTTTATAGTTTTATGTCTTTGGTCCCATCCTATTACATTATATGTCTTTGTGTCCTTGCATCTTATTACATTATATATTTTTGTTTTGTCTTTGATTGAGTGTACAACAGTGTCATCTGTTAGCTGATAGTGATTGCAAACATCAAGTACAGTCATAAACCATTCGCATTAAAAAAATTTGTTCTAAAGTTGTATAACACAAATCAAAATACGCAAGGATGATTGATTTGACATATAGAGGACGCAAATGACATTGAACAGTAATCTTTCTAATAATATAACTTTATCTGTTCGAAAATACCCAGCAAAGTTTACTTAAATCTTATATATGTGATGCAATGATTTCACTACTTCATTTGTTTGAGTTCAGATGACGTCATGGAATATTGAACGCTGCACAGACTTTCAAGTAGACAGAATTGTTCAAATATTGTTAACAACAACATACTACGGCATCCCGAAAAAACATGCCAACACTGTTCTATTAATTGACAAGGCACGGTCGGCGAAGGGGTTTTTGATGTAACAGGCAAAACCAACTTACGTGGTTATGCTATTCCGTTCATGTAAAACGAAAGCATAAAAGTGAGAGAGATGAAAAGGTTTATAAGTGCAGTTGTAAGATTTAGAAGATTTTCCAAAAGAATTTTTATACCCTACACCACGAGGTGGTCAGGGTATTTTGTCTTTGTGCATTTGTTTGTAACAGGCAAAAGGAAACGAGATAGACCCATAGTTCATTTTGATGATCTGCATAGAACCACATTCTGAGTCGATTTATACATGTCCGTCCGTCCGTCTGTCCATGTATTTTTGTAAACAAAGTACAGTTCGCATTTAATACCCTATCCAGATGAAATTTTGCACAAATCATTTGTTTGGCCCAAGGACGAACCCTATTGAAATTGGAGATAATCGGTCAAAATTTAGATATACCTCCCATATATATCTTCGATTTTCTTTTTATTGTGCACCAAACGTTTAATATCAGCCCGAATAGTATGAAAAGTCTACTATTTGTCCAAATGGGATGGAATTTGCTAGTATTTATCTGAAATTTGGTGAAGATCGGTTCAGATATAGCTATAGCTCCCATATATACTGTTCATTCGATTTGTTATATTTGTTACCCACAGCCGTAATATGCACACCGTAACAACGATATTCAGGGAAATATATCAAATACAGCTCAGAAATATCTTTGACAAATTTTATTGTAAACGGGCCCGGATTTGGATATAGCTCCTATGTATATCTTTATCCGATTTCAAATTAATTGTGCACCAAATGCGCAATACAAGTCCGAATTTAAAAGATATAAATGCTTCGGAATATATAGTATCTTATAATTATAATTATATATAATTATGATTATAATTATAATTATAATATAAATTATAATTATAATATAAATAATTATAATTGTAATAATTGTAATTATAATTATAGCGTGTATGTTGAATT